TAGATCTTGACTTGAGAGAAAGTCGTATACTCAAAGTCTTCAAAAGTGAATATGTGAAAGGCATGTTCTTCCCTCTTTGGAAGCCGTCTTAGTAATCAAGTGATACGACAGCAGAAATGCTGTAAGTGGATAGCTTTAACAGACATTAAACGGAATTGATTATCTCACAGTATAGGTGTCTAGAAGTGTGTCTCCAGGGTGCTAGCTGTAGGGGAAGGGTTTCTCTATCTACTGGCTCTGAGGGAAAGTTCTTGTCTCCTTTCTGTGGGCCCGACTTTCCTTGGATATCTCCATACATCTTGACATCAGTCTTCCCCTGAGTCAGAGACATTTTCAGCACAGGAATCCTGGGTTCAAAGGACATACTCCACTGGCTCTTCTTTCTTGGTGGTTCCTAGGTCCCTCCTTTTCTGCTCATCTCTCTCTACCTTGGTTGTTTATAAGGTAAAAGGTGATGGAGGCCAAGCTTGTCATTAGTTCAGGGCTCTGACTAGTCCCCTTACAATTGATTGGCCACATCTGATCTTACCAAGGGAGTGGATTACATCATTGCATACCTGCCAAACCACCAAGAATCATAGCCAAGTTGATACATGTTTTGGGGTAACACGGTTCAATCCATGATGTTAGTCATGACCTTGGGTTCCAAGGAACTGCAAAGAAGACTTGTCAGCTGTGTAGAATCTTCATGAAATACTCAAAGCCAAGGTATAATATTTAACCGCTCTTGATTACCTGCCTTGAGCAGGGGACCATTCTAGACCCATGATTTTCACCCTCCTTCATTGTCTTTCTGTCACCATGGCAACCAGGGAAGCCATGAGGAAGTGAGTAAGTGGGTCTCTTATTTGGGGATGCTTGTCCTGTACACATCTTGTGATATTCATCATCTGCCTTTAAGCATGGAAAGATCATGGGTCAACACTCATTCATTAAGTGCAGAATTATAGTAGAACAAACAAATCTGTGTTGGTAGGAGTACAGCTAGAATGCTCCTTTAAAGCTATGATGGTGAGACTTCCATCTCTAATACTGTGGACATACTATCAGGAGAGACCCGTCCCTTGAGAGACATATGCTTGGTAAAGTGGAGGGTCAGAGAAAAAGAGGAAGACCCTCCCCCGCCCAAGAAGATGGATTGGCACAGTGGGCTCACGCGTAATAATTGTGAAGATGGCACAGGACCGGGCAGTTTTTCATATTCTTGTGCATAGTGTCATTAAGAGTCAGAACCAACTTAACAGGACCTAACAACAACAACAGACATGAATGACAGCAAAGGGAAAGATGAAAGTATTTTAAGTCAAAGGGGCATTGCTCAGATTGGCACACCAATATATGCAGATGACAGGGGCATGACTATAACTGTGCCTGGTTCCAGGAACAGTAAGGGGGCCATGTTAATTTGAGCAGCTCTGGCCCCAGACCTCTGCCACTTCAGTAGAGAACCTACAGACCCTTGCTCCCACCTCTGATTCTGATCAGCACAATTTTGATGGATATTTTAGTTGCTCTATTTGGAGCACAGTTCTTTCCCAACACACATGTAGTCACTATGAGTCAGAATCAACTAGACAGCAAATGGTACTAGTATTTTTCATAGGCTAGCAAGGATCTGCAGAATGGTATTCCTGGGGGAGAAATTATATTAAAAATGTTTAGTGTTCTGAAAACTTTTGGCTCCTGGGAGCCTGGAGAACCCACCTCACTGCTGTGTGCAGGTCTGCTCTGAGAGCTGATTATGTTAATTACCACCCATTGCCTATGGGGTTTCTCAGCCAGAATGGAGCCCCCTCTGAATTTGACAGCTTCCTCGTCTCCTTTAAACCTTAAGCCTCAAGTCTTTGCAAATTGGAGGATGAGCTTTGTTTTGCTTTGAGATAAGTTGAATGATGAAGGAAGCAAGCTGCTAAGAAGGGCAAATCTCTTCATAATTTTTTCCCCCTCTAGTCGCTTTCCTTTTTAATATGACTGATAAATAGAGAAGAAATAAATGCCTTTGGGACAATAAAAGCATCTCATGTTGGAACCTATATTGTTTTTTTGTTTTTGAGTTTTTATTGTGAGGTTTACATGGGAGAACATCAGTTTTACATTCATCTTATCATATTGTTTCATTGCAATGATTACAGTCCCTTCCATGCATCATCAAATAACCAAAAGGTACACCCTGCAGGCCCACCCCCCGGCTGTCTGCACACAGCCCCTCTCCCTCCCTGAGTTCAGTGTCCCTAGCTGCTCCATCTGTCCATGTCATCGTCTCTATCTCCATCCCTGGCATCTCTGCCTCTCCGCATATGGATATGCTGGATTAAAGGGTCCTGCACAAATTAATTTTAGGGCTGCGACCCAGAAGCTGATGTCATAAGCAGCTGCCAAATAATTTGCCCTTGGGACCGAGGGGGCGCTTTTTCTCTGTGCCATGGGAAAACCTGTGGGCTCAACGTTGGACTTTTTTTGGGGGCTGGGGGAGGGGGGTGCACACCCACCCACCTGAAGGCATCTGGGGTGGGCAAAGAAGGTGCGACAGGGAAAAGGAAGCAAAAATGTGTAGAATCCCCCCGCACCTCCTTTTGCAAAAGTCATGCTTTTATCTCCGGTTCCCTCTGTGGGCCTGACTGTAGCCCAGCTCTGCTGAACTCTGCCTGGGTGGGGTGGCCGCAGGGGTGTCCCATGTCTCGAGCGATTCCTTAATGGCAGTATTGTCCTTTATACAGTGATTTTTCCACTGGTGTGTGTGGGAAACTAACACCCTTCACCTTATGTTAGATCCAGAGCTTTGGTGCTGTTTCGTAATCGCAGCTTCTCTGGGTTTTTAGTCCCTCCCCTATCGAGGCTGTCCTACCTGATTCTGTCTTTGCCGCCGCCCAAACTGGAACTCTGGAACATATATTGTTGTTGTTGTTAAGTGGCACTGAGTCAGTTAAGACTCATATAGACTCTGTCAAAGTTTTCCGAGGAACTATTGGTGGATTTGGAGCCCTGGTGTGGCACTGTGGGCTAATGAGCTGGACTGCAAAGTCAGTTTGAATCTCTAGGTTGGTGATTCAAACTCACCAGCAGCTCCTTGGAAACCCTATACAGGGTTGCTCTGGGTTGAAACCGACTTGACTGCACTTAACAACAACAAACTGGTAGATTTGAACTGCCAACTTTTCAGTTAGTAGTCCAGTGCTTATCCTATAGTGCCACACCATTTCAAAATGTTCCTCCTATGTCCCTTGCCGACCTCTGACTGAGTGCATGTTTTACATACATTATGTAACTTCTTATTATAGATATCTTGTTGTTCTTAAAATGCCGGGGAATCTAGTTTCAGCCTATCACTACCCTGTATAAGGTTTTAAATCTTTGTGGGAATAGAAAGCCTCATCTTTCTCCTGAGGAGGCACTAGTGGGCTCAAACTGTCTACCTTATGGCTCACAATCTAGTGCTTATCCCATGGCACCATCATGTTCCCATTGGCACCTTGGAAAGGTATAGAGTAGGATTTTGACTTCTTAGACCCAAGGGCACTGTTTTACAACAAATAGTTTATAATGTAATGTTTTAATTATGAGGAAAGCAAGAGAAATGTGGTTTAATATACATTTCAACACTTAAATGCTGGCCATGACCATACCAAGAGAGGTAATGAATTACTAGGGGTTACACCCTGACGATTCCCATGCATATGGCAGTTGTCAAAGCCGGTCATTCAGTGACCAGGCTTCCAAAGTGATGACTGATACTGGTCAGAAAAAGACTGGAGGAACCCCAAGACCATGGTCCTTGGTCACCCTTCAAATCTGGAACTGAACTTAACTGTTGTGGCTCAAATTTCAGCCAAGCAGTATATAAGTATATAGGGGGAAAAGCAACTCTAGTGAGGTATGTACACCATAGAATAGTCAACCATTCGAGATCCAAAGGGCAGGCAGCATTTACCGAAGGACAAAATTCAGAAGTGTTGAGATAGAAGTAATGGAAACAAGAACCACAAGGAGGAAGTGGGATAAAGTGATGTCACATTGAAGGGACTGCAATCTTTGAGATGAAAAGAAGTGTATGATTTGTTGAATGTGAAACTAATGATCTGCTCTGCCAACCTTCACTCAATTCACAATAGGTTTTTTAAAAAGCAAATAAATTAACTTGTAAGTTATAGTCATTTCAAATCATAATTTAAAATTTTATTAGCCCCAAAAAACAAAAGTGACGACTGAATCAGAGGAGGTTTCAAACAGTACTAAGGATACCAGCACTTTGTTTTCCTGGTAGTTGCAATCCTGGAAATCTTGTTGTTGGATGTCCATTCCAGTTCATAGTGACCCCATGTGACTGAGTTGAACTGTCTGATAAGTTTGTGGGGTTTTCTGTAGTCTTCATGGGGAGCGGATGGTCAGGTCTTTGTCTCACAGAGCTGCTAGTGGGTTCACACCACAGCCTTTTGGTTAGCAGCCGAGCATTTTAACACTTGTGTAACCAGAGAAACTACCAGCTGTTCCGTGGGAGAAAGATGAGGCTTTCTGCTCCCGTAAAGATTTACAGCCTCGGAAACCCTGTACAGGGTCGCTGTGGATTGGAACTGACTCCACAGCACAGAACAACAACAACAACAACCAGAGACTACTGGGGGTGGATATTATAGAAACACTAGTAGCTCTAGAATACTAGGTAGATATTAAACCTTGCCAAGTATTTTGTATTTATGCAAAATAGAATTCAGTCCTAGTCTCAGAAAAATAATTTCTGATATAGAATAGTGACTGCTGACCCCTAAAAGCCTCGGTGCCCTACTGCCATTGTAACCACTAAAACAAACCTACACATTTCCAGGGTTCCTTGAGTGGGCAGTATCCAAAATAGAAACTCACTGGTAAGTCATCTGAGATGGAAATCAAGACAGGTGACAGCTTATGACTAATAAAGTTGAAGAATTTTGTATTCCCATAGTAGGAACTCAGAAAGTGGTCAATAATCTGAAAGATAATGATCTATGTATGTTTTTTCTTTGAAGTATAACCAATGTGCAGCGTTCAGACAATGGATCGTATGTCTGCAAGATGAAAATAAACAGTGACGAGATTGTGTCTGATCCCATCTACATTGTGGTGCAAGGTAAGTCCAGAGGCCAAAGGTTGATTGTTTTAAAGCCTGTGTACATTTCTTTTTGTAGAATCATCTGGAATTTGGCCTACCTATTTATAACTCTGTGCAACCCTCACAAATGAAATTTCCAAGGCGGTCCTAGTTTTCAGCTTAAGACAATAATAACTATTTCTAAGTCTTTGAGTATATCCTAGGCCTGTTATTGTTAGATGCCATCAAGTCAGTTCCCATTCATGCCAACCATACATAGAACAAAAGGAAACACTACCCAGTCTTGCAGCAGCATCCTCACAATTGTTGTTATATTTGAGCCCATTGTTGTAATCCATCTCATTGAAAGTCTTCCTCCTTTTCACTGACTCTCCCTCTACTTTATCAAGCATGATGTCCTTCTCCAGGGACTGGTCCCTTAGGATAACATGACCAACGTATGTGAGACAAAATCGCACCATCCTGATTCTGCTATCTTTCAAGAAAAATATAGTCATTCTTCAGGCAGTCCATGGTATAGTCGGTATGTTTCATCAACACCCTAAATCAAAGGGATCAATTATTTGGTTTTCCTTATTCATTGTCTTGCTTTTCTTTGCATATGAGATGATTGAAAACACCATGGTGTGGGTCAGGTGACATCTTTGCTTTTTAATACTTTAAAGAGGTATTAAAGAGGTTTTTTTATTTTTAAGTTTTTATTGTGAACTGAGTGATAGTTTATATGGGAGAACACCAGCTCTGTATTCATCCTATTGTATTTCATTTCATTGCAATGATTACGATCGATCCCCTCCATGCATCATCATTCAACAGCATTTGCTTCCATTTCCTCTGTGTTTTTTTTAAATGTTTTATTGTGAATTATGTGATAGTTTACATGGGAGAACATTAGTTATACATTCATCCTATCGTATATTGTTCCATTGCCATTGTTACAATCCCCTCCATGCATCATCAACCAACCACACATTCCCTATGTTATTTTTTAAAGTTTTTATTGTGAATTATGTAATAGTTTACATGGGAGAACATTAACTTTACATTCATCCTATCGTATATTGTTTCATTGCCATGATTACAATCCCCTCCATGCATCATCAAACAACCAAATGCTTCAGTTGTCAGCACACAGCCCCTCTCCCTCTGTGGGTCTAGAGTCCCCAGCGACTCCATCTCTCCACATCATCATCTCTGCCTCCATCTCTAGCGTCACTGTTTCTCTGGGTAGGGTCCTGCACACCATTCTTCTCCATTGATGGTCCCAGGGACCTTCACTCCTGGACTGCAAAGTCAACCACTCCCCTCCTTTTGCTACAAAATGTCTACCTTTACATTTCCAACCCTCACAGTCAGTTCTGATAGCAATGATTCACTATTGTAACACAAGAGTCCTATCCCCATCTCCTTTCATCTCCTTTCATCATACTCAGTGGAGATTCGACCTTCCTCTGCGCCCTCTGGATCTAGGCTCCCTCTTGCCTTCGTAGCCTCCTCCCCACCCCACCCCCCATTTTGGGTAGCCAATGTCCAAGTTGCCTATCCCTGTCTACCCTGTAGGAATGATCCTCGCTGTAAAGGTTTGTTCCCTCTTTTGAGCTACTGCATTCATAGGTGTAGGTCAAGTTCATCAAATTTTTCAGATTACTCTTTTTGTCCTCTTCTTTCTTCTTCTAGTTGAGTTCTGTTCTTCCAGTCATTGAAGGCAGGTCAAGTGGGTATTACCTGTAAGTGCAGGTGTTCTTGTGCAAATTCCCTCACTTCTTATCAGCTGGACGCTTCACTCTCCACTCTAGTCCTCTGTGACTATGTCACTGTCTCTGGGCCCAGGAGACCCCAGGTCTTGCCATACTGCTGGCCACCCAGGTTTAAAGAGGTTTTTTTTTGCAGCAGATTTATCAACTACATTACTGATTTCCTGACTGCTGCTTCCATGGATGTTGATTGTGGATTTAAGTAGAATGAAATCCTTGGTACCTTTAATCTTTTCTCAGTTTATCATGCTGTTTCTTGTTGGTTCAGCTGTGAGGATTTTTATTTTCTATATGTAGAGGTGTAATTCATACTGAAGGCAGTAGTCTTTGATCTTCATCAGTAAATGGTTTAAGTCCTGTTTGTTTTCAATAAGCAAGAGTTGTTGTTCATGAGTCTTCCTCCAGTCCTGACGTCTCATTCTTCTTCATTTAACTCAGCTTTTTGGATTACTTGTTCAACAAATAAGGTTATCTAACAGAATGCAGACGTTATCAAATAACATCGTTAATATCATGTAAAAGTCAAATTTTGCTGAAGATAATTTTAAAATGGTATCAGTAGTATAACAACAGAGTACGACCAGAATTTTAAGCCAAATTCAGAAAAGGAACAAGGAATATCACTGTTGATGTCAGATGGATCTTGACTGAAAGCCAAAAGAAGATCAGGAAGATATTTACTTGTGTTTTATTGATGATGCAAAGTCATTTCACTGTGTGGATTATAACAAGCTATGGATAACAATGAAAAGAATGGGAATTCCAGAACATTTAGTTGTGCTCATTCAGAACCTGCCCACAGGCCAAGAGGCAGTCATTTAAACAGAGCAAAGGGATTCTGCCGGGCTTAAAATCCGGAAAGCTATGGGTCAGGATTCAATCCTTTTATACACATATTCAGTTTGTATGCTGAACAAGTAAGTCTAGGCCCACAAGGCAGAAAAATGTTGTTTTGCAATCAGACAAGCATAAAACATTTTTTTTTTTTAAGGGAACAAAATGCATTCTATTATCTACTTTCTCAGGGCTGGCATCAGATATCACTCAACTGGCCAAATGGTTCTATGCTTATTATTCAGCAAATTTTTCCATCAGGGAATTACAGTGGGAGATCTTAGAGATGTAACTATGCCAATGTTATGTAATGAGAATGGGTTTTGCCATTGGGTCAACTCCAACCCATGGCAACCCTATGTGTGTCAGAGTAGAACTGCTCCGTAGGGTTTTCAGTTGCTGACTTTTTGGAAGTAGATCATGAGGCCCTGCTTCTGAGGCTCCTCTGAGTATACTCGAACCTCCAACTTTTCAGTTCTTCTTCATATAGTTTAGCTGCTTGGAGTTTTTTGCCCAAAATATAAGGTGATCCAACAAAATGCTGAAATCATTCAACAACACCATCAGTACCACACAATAGTTTTGCTGAAGATCATTGAAAAAATGGTTTAAGCATACATCAACAAGAAGCAACCCTGAGTGTGTTTCTTCTCATTGGTCTGAAAGTATTACACTCAATAAGTTGTCCTTCAGCGTTGCCAGACCTATTTCATAGTTTTGCTTTTACTCTGTGTTGACTTCAGTAAGGAATACTGAAAACCTGCCAACCTGTCATAGAAGTTTGAACAACTGTTGGTTTAAGAACTGCCTGGCTCCCTTCTGGTAATACCAGTTCTCACTCACAATTTACACACCTCCTGTGGGAAAATGTTCTGGAAAGACCGCTTGAACTAGACTGGTAGGAATTTGTTTCTGTGTTTTTTCTTACTCAACATTCAGTAGGTGAAGCCTGGCCGGCCGTTTAGACCTGAGGCGATGCATAAAGAAATGTCCGATTGCCACATTGAAGTACAGTTTGCATTCCTTTTGTTCTCTATCTTTGCTTTTTGTCTGAAACATTCTTTCCATTAATTCTTCCTCTGCAGGACTTCCCCACTTTACCAGGCAGCCAGAGAGCATGAATGTCACCAAAAACACAGCCTTCAACCTCACCTGTCAGGCAAAGGGCCCACCAGACCCAGTCAACATTTTCTGGATCCAAAATAGCAGCCGGGTTAATGATCAACCTGAAAAATCTCCCTCTGTTCTAACTGTTCCTGGTAAGTCTTTGCTGTTTGCTTAATTTTTTTTTTTTTTTTCCTGATAATTTGTTGTTAACTGCCATCCTGCCATCGAGTCGGTACTGACTCATAACAACCCTGTGTAGGGTTTCCGAGAAGCAGCTGATGAGCTTGAACCACTGACTTTGTGGTTCAAATGGACCTTGCAGTCCAGCGCTTTAACCCACAGCGCCATACCAGGGCTTCTTTCTGATAATGAAGGCTTAAGGGACCCCTGTTTTGTACCACCAGAGGGCAGCAAGGAGGGATGAAAACACAGGTGTGGTAGTTAGATTAGGGAACCAGGGAGGTGGTAAGACCAGTAGGAATCACCAGCTCAAGGGGTCCCCATAGGGTAAGGCTTGGAAATACAGGAGTGCCTGGCAATGAGACCAAGAGTTAAGTTGGTAACGGGGCCAGTATCCCCAAGTCTAGACACGGGAACCCTGCAGGTGTCTCCCATTGCAACTGTGGATTTACCAGCCTGGCCATTCTTCCCCTTAAGGAATCTTTGATGTAAAGACTTCTGTGAGGTTTAACAGCAAAGAAAGTGCTTTTGTCACCAGGAGCTATTGTGGGAAGATTGTGAATCATTGTGGGATTGTGGTTGACTTGACATTCCATAGTCATCTTGATTTCCATCCAAACGGGAGCCTCCTGGCCTCCTTCCCATCACTCCAGGGAGCACTGTTCTTCTCTGCACCGTTGATGTTTCCTGGGCTTCTCCTTGGCTCCTGTGACTTCATTTTTCAGAAACATCTGGTCTGGTTAGCTAACTGTTCCTCTCTTCCTTCCTTTCTTTATGCACTCAGCAAGGATTTCAGGATTGACTGCTATCCACTAGAGGCTCTGCTAAACACTGAGAGCACAGTGGTGCACTTCTGAAAACACTATCATTCTGGCCTTCTTCCCACTTTACTCCTCCTCCCTCACTGTTTCTTTGTCCTTGGCAGGCATTCGGAAGGTCCACCCTGGGCCCATTTCTTTTCACTCTGAGCTACTGGGCAAGTTCCTCCAGGCCTGGCTTCAGTATCCTCTTTGTGATGGTGATCTATAACTTTTTATCTCCAACTTGATATCTCCACTGAACTCAGACTTATGTCTCTAGCCATCTCCTTGACATTTCCACATGCTGAGTACACATTGTTGTTAAGTGCCATCCAGCCAATTCCAACCCAAAGGACCCTGAATAGGGTTTCTGAGAAGCAGTTGATGAACTTGAAATACTGACCTTGTGGTTCAAACTAACTTTGCAGTACAGCTCATTAACCCGCAGTGCCACACTAGGACCTCTGCTGGGTTCATATGTACAACTCTTGATTTATCCCCAGACTTGTTCCACCCCAGAATCCCCCACTTTAGTAAATGATACCACTCTTTGCCTATCCTTCCCTTTTCTCTTTTTTTTTTCCACATTGAAAGCATCAACAAGTTCTGTCAGTTCTACATTTACCATAGATCTAAATCTGTGTTTTCCCCATTTCTATTGACCACCAACTCTTTTTTTAAAAAAATTTTGTTAACACAAACAACAGTATCTTCATTACGGAAATCATGTGAATCTAATTCAGAACCAACTCAAAATCATAAAACAGGCCAGTCTTGCTGGTCTGACAGAAACTAGTGGAACCCCCAAGACTGTGGTCCTCTTTGACTCTTCAGGCCTGGAACTAAACTCACCTCCATGTTCAATTTTCAGCCAAACAATGTATAGATCTAAAAGGAGCTAGTGGTTACCAGTCAGGCTGCCAACCTCAAGGTCAGCAGTTCGAAACTACCAGCTGTTCTGCGGGAGAAAGATGAGGCTTTCTGCTCTCGTAAAGACTTACAGCCTCGGAAACCCTGTACAGGGTCGCTATGAGTTGGAACAAATTCCACGACACATAACAACAACAACAACAAGGTAGACAATTGTACCACAGAGGCACCACTTGTTAAAACAATCAACCACTCACATCTAGTGGGCAGTATTTACCCAGAGACAAAGGTCAGAAGGGTTAGAAGGAGTAATTGGAACAAAAATTATAGGGAGTAAATGGGATGGGCGATGCTTCTTTGTGACGATAACAAGCTGTATGAATCGTTGAGTTGAAAACTAATTCCCTCTGTACACCTTCACCCATTCATAATTTAAAAAAAGTTTTAAAACAAACAAAGAAACAAAGTCAGACCCAGCTAAGGAACCTGCCTTAAGACTGATTCCCACACCTCAAGGAGACCACCAGCTCATTCACTAAAGTGAAATTGTCACTTTCTTGTATCACTTTTTTTTTTTTTAAAGTCCCCAGCTGCTCCATCTCTCCACATCATCCTCTCTGCCTCCATCTCTGGTGTCACTGCTTCTCTGGGTAGGGTCCCGCTCTCTGCTCTTCTCCTTTGATGGTCCCAGGGACCTCCACTCCTAGACTGCAAAGTTAATCACTCCCTTCCTTGCTAAAAAACATCTACCTTTACATTTCCAACACTCACAATCAGTCCTGATAACAATTATTCACTATTGTATCGCAAGTGACCCATCTGCATTTCCTCTCATCAGCTCCGCCTAGACAGATTGGATACTACTCAGTGGAGATTCTACCTTCCTCCATGCCCTCTGGATCTAGGTTCTCTCTTGATAGCTTGTAAACCAATCACTTCTTGCCTTTGTAGCACCCCCAACTTTGGGTAGCCAATGTCCAAGTTGCCCAGCCCTGTCTACTCTGTGTATGGAGGGGGTGGGAATGATCCTTGCTATAAAGATTTGTTCCCTATTTTGAGTTACTGCATCAATAGATGTAGGTCAAGTTCATCAGATTACTCTTTTTTTCCTCTTCTTTCTTCTAGTTGAGCTCTGATCATCCAGTCATTGAAGTCAGGTCAACTGGGTATTATCTGCAAGTGTGGATGTTCTTGTGCATATGCCCTCTGTTCTTATCAGCTGAATGCTTCACTCTCCACTCTAGTCCTTTGTGGCTATGTCACTGACTCTGGGCCCAAGAGTCCCCAGGTCTTGCCACACTGCTGGCCAACCAGGTCTCCACCCGGGTTCACAGGAGTCTACTGAATGTTGTAGGGCTTAGCTTGCAACTTCATTGCTGATTTTTCCTCACTTCCCCTATCGGTGATGAACGTGGTCACCAATCAGAGTGTGTATTCCCATTGAGTCTTAGTCTTGGAAGGGGTTTGCTCAGAGGGGACTCAACCACTTGCCTTGATGTTTCCTGGGCGAGCAACTTACTTGTTCTTATAGTAATCTGTCGGTCTGCCTGTATTGTTTTATATTTTTCCTGTTGGTCTTTCTTTCAAGAAGTATCTTCTGTTCTTCTAGCCACTCCAGGCTGGTCTGCCCATCCTTCCAAGTGGAAATTTCCCACTTCTGAAGATTCTGATGCTGTTCAGAATTCCACCTATAGTCTTATGTAATGCAGAGGCTCTGCAGGAAGCCTACTTCACTGGGCACATTGTAGCCCCATTTTAGGTATTCCAATCAGTTATAGGCAGAAGATGGTCTTACAAGCTTTCTAAGGTGATATTTCTGGCTATTCCTTTCTCTCCCCCTCCAATATGACCTCCAACTCTTGAAAACATTACTGCAGTAGTTTCCTATTACTTCTAGCCTTGTCTCTCTCTAACCCATTTTATGCAGTGTTAACAGATCAAATCATTTACTTGCTGAAACTCCTTTGGTGGCTTCCCATTAGACTGATCCACAGTTTCTCCTGTGTCTTTAGACTCACATGCTTTACGTTCACCAGACTCTAATACAATCCCAGCCCACTCTCTCCTGCCTGCCATAGGAACTTTGCACTCTTTCTTCTATCTGCCTAAGATACTTTCTATGTGCCTCTGTTCTAGTTCTTCAGAGAGGTCTTCCTTGACTGCTAACTCTTAGCTCCTCCCACCCCCTGTTTACTCCCAATCACATGCTCTTTGATACTTCCTTCATTATACTTGTCACAGTCCATAACTGCCTTATTTTTTCGTTTAGTCTCCTTGACTCTCTTCTTTAGGAATGAGTGCTAAAGAAGCCTTGTCTCTCCCATTCACCTCTTCATTCTCAGAGCCCACAGTTCAATCTGACTCATAGTAGTGCTGAGTCAGTATTTACGGAGAGAATGGATAAACTTGGTGTCAGCCTGGAGCCATTATCTCTGAATCATTTTTATAACTCCTGATTTCCAGAGGAACGTTTTGCTTTCTCTGACTTTTTCTGAATATTCTTTAAGTTTCTCCACTGGTTTGATAATCTCTCTAGGATGGATGCTCTGAAATCCCATAACAAAGATTTTTTTCCCTCCATTGAGGTAAAGTTGACATATAAGTAATGTTCAGCATTTAAGTGCGCAGCCCAGTGAGTTTTGATAGTTATAAGAGTATACACACATGTAACCACAACTTCAATGAAAATATAGACCATTACATCACCTCTCTAGCAACCAGCCAATGGTGTTCTAAGGTGCTTGTTTTTGATATAGGATGTGGTGCTCCTCCCTCATGTTCTTTTCCAATCAGTGCCTGCCTCTTACTGGCAACACTGTTCTGATTTCTATCATCATAGATTAGTATCAGAAATAAACAACTAAGAGCACCATTAACTGCTTGCTGTGTCGATTTTTAATAGTCAGTTTGCAAATTGGGCAGCACATCATTTATGGAGTAAATCAATGCTCTGATTAATTAAAGTTTTCAAAGTGCTTGTATCATTTTAAAAGTCCTGGTAGCGTGGTGGAGTACAAGGTTGGCTGCTAACCACAAGGTCAGCAGTTCAAATCTATCAGTTGCTCCTCAGGAGAATGATGAGGCTTTTTGATCCTAGATAGATTTAAAGACTCACAAAGTTTCAGGGGTTTCAGTGAGACTGATCACCTAGATCAGTGAACAAGACAAGACTAAGTATAGTTTAAGGTATGACAGTAGGCATTAAAATGAACCCTGGTGGCACAGTGGTTTAGCGTACAGCTGCTATAAAAGGTTGGTCCACCAGCTGTTCTGAGGTAGAAAGATGTGTCAGTCTGCTTCCA